CGAAATTTGAAGACTCCTGGTCAAATTTGAGCCTAACCTAACCTAACGTAACCGAACCTCACAAAATTCCAGCTAATGTAAGCTATCCTCGATTAAACTGATTTACGATAAAGTTCATGTGAGTAAAGGAAATTTGGTGTCTCCTGGTCAAATTTGACCCTAACCTAAACTAACCTAACCTAACCTAACCTCACCTCACCAAATTCCAGCTAATGTAACCTGTCCTGATTTAGGATAAAGTTTAAGTGAGAAAACGAAATTTGGAGTCTCCTGGTCAAATTTGAGCCTAACCTAACCTAACCTAATCTCGCCAAATTCCAGATAATGTAACCTATCCTCGAATAAACTGATTTACGATAAAGTTTATGTGAGAAAACGAAATTTTGAGTCTCCTGGTCAAATTTGAGCCTAACCTAACTTAACCTAACCTCACCTCACCAAATTCCAGCTAATGTAACCTATCCTCAATTAAACTGATTTACGATAAAGTTTATGTGAGAAAACGAAATTTGGAGTCTCCTGCTCAAATTTGAGCCTAACCTAACCTAACCTAACCTAACCTCAACAAATTCCAGGTAATGTAACCTATCCTCGATTAAACTGATTTACGATAAAGTTTATGTGAGAAAAACGAAATTTGGAGTCTCCTGGTCAAAGTTGAGCCTAACCTAACCTAACCTCACCAAATTCCAGCTAATGTAACCTATCCTCGATTAAACTGATTTACGATAAAGTTTATGTGAGAAAACGAAATTTGGAGTCTCCTGGTCAAAAGCTAGGGGTTTCGCCCATTCATAGAAATGCTATTTACTCTATGTTTACATCGTACTAGTTGCCAGATGTATGAAAGTGGGTTCCAGCATGTGTACTGAAATATAATTCCGCAACTGTACATGCGTATATATGTGTACAGGTTCATATGAGTGTAGGCGAGTTTAAATTCATTTGCGGATACATGGGTATGCTGCTGTTTGTCTACGTAAGTTTATAAGCTTCCATATAGCTTTGTGATAAAGTACATTATGTATGGGTATGTTCCGTGCTTATACATGAGGGCATACATGAGTTTAAAGGCGTAAATATGCAAATTTGTACATATGGTGTATATATTCATGTATGAATGTGCACATATACATGTGTATATAAGCATGTATATATGTGTATGTGTATATAGGTATATATAATGTGCGTGTATATGTGTATGCGTGGGTGAATGTATAAGTAGACATATGGAGGTATTTATATGTGTATATGTATAGGTATACGTATATCTCTCTCTCTCTCGCTCTTTCTCTCTCCTTCCCTCCCTTCCTCACTACCTCTCTCTGTCTCTGTCGCCCCCTTCTTTCTCTCTCTATCTCTTCCCCCTCTTTTTTTTCTTCCTTTCACTTTCTCTCTTTCTTTCTCCTTTTTGTGATACCTACCCCCCTCACTCATTTTTTCTTTCTCTTTCCCCCTCTCTATTTCCTCCTCCCCCCCCCCCCGCGCCTCTCTCTCTCCCTACCTCTCTCTGTCTGTGCCTCCCCCTTCTCTTTCTTTCTCCCCTCCCCCTCTCTCTCTTTCTCTTTCTTCCTCCCTCTCCCTCTCACACTACCTCTATCTATCTCTGCCTCCCCCTCCCTTCTCTTTCTTTCTCTATCTCTTTCCCCTCTCTCTCACAACCTCTCTCTGTCTCTGCCTCCCCCTTTTCTTTCCTTATCTCTCTCTACCTCTTGCTCCTCTCTTTCTCTCACTTCATCCCTCCATCTCCTCTCCCTCTCGCTCCCTCTCTCCATCGCTGCCCCCACCTTCCCTTTCTCTCTCTATCTATCTCTCCCCCTTTCTTTCATTTCCTTCCTTCCTCCATCCCTCTCTCTGCCTATCACTCCCTCCCCTTACTCCCATTCTCCTCCACTCTCTTATTCGCTATCTAACTCTCATTCTCTCGCTCTCTGACTAGCCCTCCTCTCATTCTCTCGCTCTCTGACTAGCCCTCTCCTCTCATTCTCTTACTCTCCCTGATTCTCCTTACCCTCCATGTCTATCTGTTTTTAAATGTGTTTTGATTGGTTTTTCTTTCTCGTTTGCTTGTGGTGTTGACAGTGACGCTCAAGAAGTGTGAAAGAGGCAGGGGGCCCTCTCCTCCATTCTTTGGCCATAAAGGAATGGCTTTTTTATTTTTTTACAGAACGCATTTAGTGCTACGAACCTGTCGGTTGTAATAATGCAGTTGTTACTGTGGTCAAAATATCCACGCATGATTTTGAAAAACGCTTTTTACAGTGCATCAGTCATCCAAATGAAATATTGGTATATCAGGTTCATTATTTTCTTACAATAACGAATCGGTGATGCTGTATCGGCGATATATGTATTGGTATCGCTTTAACTGTTTTCGAAGAATCGATGTATCAGAATCGTTTTAGTCAAATATCTCGTATCGATGCATTGGTATCGCCTTAGACAGTTCCGTGCATCTATGCCCATCACTGACTATAACGCATCATGATTTCTACTTATTGAAACAGTTTGCTTTCGGCGAAAAGAAAAATCTCATTTCATTAGTTCGTTTAGCTGCTACTAGATGGTGTAGCTCCGAGAAGCAGTTGATAAATTATCAACGAATTTGCAAATTTCTGTTTGATTTAGCTGTCATACATAGTTGTTTGAAGTATAAAGCATTTTCTAGGTTCAAGAAATCATGCAAATATCATTGTTAATTGTTTTGTTTAAATAAGGGAGACATGCCGCTTTACCTCCATAGGTGTTGCCATCTCGATAAACAATTCCAAAAAGTCACATTTAAAAAATATTCCACTACGAAGCCAACGACTACTAATACTGCGTGTTTCGCAATCACTTATATGAAGAAAATGCAATATGAAATGGCTTGCTTCGTTTCGAAAAAATAGATATTATTATACTTATTGGTTATTTCTATTCGACCAATCCCGCTCAGTCTTACAAACAAGCTAGGGGTTTCGCCCCATTCATAGAAATGCTATTTACTCTATGTTTTGATCGTACTTGTTGCCAGATGTATGAAAGTGGGTTCCAGCATGTGTACTGAAATATAATTCCGCAACTGTACATGCGTATATATGTGTACAGGTTCATATGAGTGTAGGCGAGTTTAAATTCATGTGTGGATACATGGGTATGCTGCTGTTTGTCTACGTAAGGTTATAAGCTTCCATATAGCTTTGTGATAAAGTACATTATGTATGGGTATGTTCCGTGCTTATACATGAGGGCATACATGAGTTTAAAGGCGTAAATATGCAAATTTGTACATATGGTGTATATATTCATGTATGAATGTGTACATATACATGTGTATATAAGCATGTATATATGTGTATGTGTATATAGGTATATATAATGTGCGTGTATACGTGTATGCGTGGGTGAATGTATAAGTAGACATATGGAGGTATTTATATGTGTATATGTATAGGTATACGTATATAGGTGTGTGCAGGATGTTGGAAGGTGGATAAATAATTAGGTATATGTATGTATGTACGTATGTATGTAGAGAGGTAGTTATATGTAAAGCAAGTACAGATATATACACATATATACAGGAGGGGGGGACACTAGTGTATGCTGCAAATGTATGTGCTCATACACGGATGCGTGCGTGAGCACATGCAGGGATAGATACATGCGTATGTATAGTGATATGTAGGTTTGCGAGGTATGCAAAAAGGGGTGTTTACATATACACGCGGGAGTATACACTCATGTATACTCACTCACTTATCAATAACATATAACAAGCGCATAAAGGGACAAGCGATGTGAACATATGACTAGGTCAG